GCTTTGTTGGTCCAGAAGTTGTAATCAATAATTAACTATTATTATAAGTTATAGTAAAAAATAAAATTCAATTTAAATTAATTAAAGTTTGTGAAGTAGACTATAAAATCTTTTTTAATTGATTAAATTATCATTTGTTATTATAATAATAACTAATTTTTTCAAAACATTTATCTTATAATTTATTTATTTTAATAAACTATTTTAATACTTTAAAAATATTATAATTATTTAGATAAAATATTTAATTAATAACCACTAAGTTTGTATAGGATTACAGCGTAAGTCTATGATATACGATAAAAAGGGTAATGCTAAGTCTTTAAGTAATGTTAAATCTATGTGTAATGCTAATCCTACAGATAATTCTAAAGAATTCTTAAGTTAAAAGGAAATGTTAAATTTATGGCACTATTTAGTAACTAAACTTTAGTCTATTGACAGTGTTAAATTTTTAGTTTTTAGTTTAAAAATCTTATAAATACTTTCTGTAGGCATAAAGCAACAAAATTATTGTGCTTGCTCATTCATCATATGTGTTGAAACATTGGGTAAATAATCGTATTATTATATACAGCATTATACAATTTAATTAAAAACAAAATCTTATGAAATAAACAATAAATTAATGACAACATTGTTGTTCAATACATTAATAAAATATTTAATAAAAATAAATAAATGATTAACAATTCTAACATTTTAACTTTATGACTAATCCTACTATGTACATTCTGAAATAGTCCATTAAAGTATGGATAGGACTTCAGTGCAACTATAGTGCAGTTTTGTCTACACAGTTTTGTGTAAACAGTTTTGCAATATACATGTTTAAAAAATATAATAATGATTATCGCAACTATTTTATAGATGTATAACATTAACTGAATAGAGGTTTTTTGTTATCCTTTTTTTTGACTGATTCACTACTTTTATGAGTCTGAATATTAAATGACTCATTAAGTCCTAGCTATAATTATTAGTGATGAAATTATTTAAATTATATTGTCCTTTACTATTGACTTTAACTATTGAACAATGCAATTTTGTCAGCACAATGAAGGTTCAAGGTATTAGTTCAAATATGTCACTAAAGGATAATGACTGAAAACACTAATGATTAATCACTGCAATATCATAAATCTCAATCAGAGTTATGCAAGGATGTAAATGTACTTTTATAAACGCAGGTAATATTAAATTATGATAATTATATTTGTAACTTATTTAAATTATTAATTAATACAATACTCAATTAGTTGCTTAATCTCTATTTATATTGTTTAAATATAAAATATATAAATTGTTTTTATTTTATACAATGTTGGTTTATTATATAAAGGATTAGACGTGAAATATAATCTTCCAATCATTTAACTATATTGTGAACTTTATTAATAGTAAAAGTAATTTTTGTTCTTTGCTATTATTTTAATGGATTCAATAGAAACAAAAATCTTAACAATGCTTGGCGTGTCGTATGCGGCCATAATTGATACAGGTCATTATATTTACATACATAACGTATATGCTTATGTTTATTTAATCTAAGGATAACATTAAAATCTTGTTATTATGATTATTAAATCTAATTTAATTTATTGATATTTTGATACCCTGTTTACTCAGCATTTATAGTGAAGGAGTCACAATATTATAAATAACAAAAATCTAAAAATCTTAACTTATAGTAATAATAAGTTTTACAATAGTAACAACTTTACAATAACTCTTATATACTTTTTATAAAATCTAATTACCTTTCATACTTTTATGCTTAAAGATGATACGATAACTAATATTATAAATATATTAACTCCCATCGTGAATTATAATTTAAAAATTGTTGATTTAATATTGATGGTTAAATAAATTGCCTTCTACCATCCCTTTAACCAGTCTTGATAATGATAACTTTATTGATTAAAAATTATTCATAACTAGTATATTATAAATAGATTTGTACGAAAGCCCAGTTAACGAGGCGCCGGATAGCGGTGTTCAAAACGGGCAACAACTCAAACAACAGTCACGACTGGTTGTAGTCTCCGGTCGTTCGCAACGTATTGTCGCCGATATATTGGACTTCGGGTTCGGCGGCGACCGGAAAGCCGACGACGAGTTTCGGACACTTCTGGACAAAGCCTTCAAAGGAAAGAGTCGTACGAATGGCTCGAATGGAGTGACGGATAGAGTGGACGACGAGTTGTGGCGCGGATTCGCTGTATTCNCCCAAATATAATGACCCACATTATAGGTTTGCGGCCAAAACTTCGGCAAATGTTCGCCTCAATGATGACAATCGACGCGTTTAAAGCATCGGTAGAAATGTCGGCCCAAACGCTCGCTTCCCTGGGCTGTGATCTAACCGAGTGTTTGAACCAAACTATTGATGTGACGCAAGAATTGCATATCAATCGCGAGGGCATTGTGTCGACCGTACATCACATCGGTTTCGTGGACGCCATGCGCGCCGTTGGGGTCACACCAGACGGCTATTTGGGCGGCTCTATCGGCGAAGTGATGTGTTTATATATGGACGGCTTGATCACTAGACGCCAGTGTCTGCACATCTGTCACGTCGGTCGGCCACCGGTCAGCGCGCGGCAATTGTGGGCGTTGGGCGGCCATTACTCGTGGTCGGAGATGGAGGGCTACTGCGCCGATCGCACCGATATATTCATGTCCCAACATTTTGCCAATAACTATATGGCGGTCATCGGCGGGGAACAGGCCATGCGTGAGCTGCGCGACCATCTATGCCGTATAGGCCGCAAACCGCGATCATTTTATTTAAAAACAGATTCGTTTCACACTGGTCGCGAGTTTGTGCCCGAAATGGGCCAGGTGTTGGTCGATCAATTTACCAAGGTGGTGCCCGAGCGCACTGCCCGCGGTCCTACCAGTCGTTGGCTGTCCTCATCGACGGCCACTCTTTGTTTGGCTAATACTGAGGGCGACGACAGCGCCGATGGATTCTCAGCGGCCGAATGTTATGCAAATATTTTGGTGTCTCCCGTATTGGTTAAGGAGGCCGTCGATCGTTTGCCCGCCGACGCGCTGGTCGTTAATATCGCCGCCGACTCTCGTTTACGAGACGTCGCTCTAAGCGGTCGACCGCAGGAACTGTATGTGAAAGAGTCGGTGGAGAGTCGGGCGCCAGTCGTGGGTATTAATCATTGGTTACGTGAGATCGGACTCGTGTTTACGGCCGGACACTGGCCTCGGATTCACGATTTGAAAGCACAACTCACCCCTCAATCCTCGCCTTCCCTTCAGTGAAGGCCAGCTATTATTGAATTTATTTGTTATAAGTTATAACTTATACCTTATAACAATAATAATTATAGCTTAAGTTTAGTCAAATTAAATTTATTAGTTCTAAAGTTATACTGTAGGACATACGAACATTTATTTTGAACGCTCTGATTTAAACACTTTTGATTTAATGTGCATGAAAGTTGTTAACCTCCCAAGATATCAATTATTTAAAGGCACTTTATGAAACATGCACTACTTAATGATAATGTATGCTAAATTACTTGTATATGTGATTTGCGATTAAATGTTAATAAATGTTGGAAATTATAGTTATTAAATATTACAATTCCTACATTATTCTAGGCATTAAGTGAATTAAATAATTAATTAAATTGTATATAATAAATATTTTATTTTAGTGCAATGGGTATTCGGTTTGTGTTTGTAACTTTATTTATTCATTGTAATATTTATATATCATTTGTTTTCTGTTGGGATAACGGCGTTAAAAAACCAAATATTATATTTATTATTGCAGATGATTACGGTTAGTATTATACTTATTTATTATAAATTTACTTGATCAACATTTTATATATAAATATTTGGCTACTGATTGTAAATATATAATAAAAGTTTTGGTCGACCATACTTGTCGTCTTGGTATATAAATAATTCTAGGACTAAATCTAGCAAAAAATTATGTTACTTTGTGTATCACGACTAGCGTGACCAACTTATCATTTCAGGAAATATGACATATTATTTATTTTATAATAAAATAACAGACAAACACCACACTTGTATTCATTAATTATTTAATTAACATTCATTACTTCATTACTAAAGTGGTTCTAATAATCAGTTATCTTATTTACTAAACTGAGCACAGGCTCAATTAAATTATTTCCTATTGGTATATAAAGTAATATATTACTATAAATAAATTATCGATAAAATTACTATAAACATTTTTGATTAATAAAAATCAGTTGTTGTACTTAAATAGGTTGGGGAGACGTCGGCTTTCACGGCTCACAACAGGTGCGGACACCAAACATAGACCTATTGGCTGGAAGTGGTATTATTTTGAACAACTATTATGTGTCTCCAATTTGCTCGCCGTCGAGAAGCGCTATTCTTACGGGTTATCATCCCATCCATACGGGGGAACAGCACTCAATCATTGGCAATGACAGTCCGTGGGGAACACCGCTACAATACCGGCTACTCTCGCAACACGTCAAACATCTCGGTTACGAGACACATATGCTGGGCAAATGGCATCAGGGCTTTTTTAAACGGCAATATACGCCAACGCAACGCGGATTTGACACACATTTTGGTTATTGGACTGATTTGGAGGGCTATTATAGTCGACAGGACGAGGGTGGGTTTGACTTTAGGCAAAATGAGAATAAGGCAAATATAACAGAATATGAGGGCATATATTCGACCGACATCTACACAAAGAAAGCCATCGATTTAATTAACCGAAGGGGAAGTGCGGGAAACTCTACAAAACCCCTATTTCTATATCTGGCCCATCAGTCGGTGCACAGCCCTAATCAGGCGCCGCAACCATATATTGATCAATTCAATGATATCGCAGATATTAATCGACGCACATTAGTGGCTATGGTATCGGTTTTAGACGACTCGGTGGGCAATATATTTGCCGCACTCTTGAAGGCAAACATATTGGACAATACGATTGTTATATTCACGACAGATAACGGGGCGCCCATTAATGACTTTGGATCTAATTGGCCTCTAAGAGGTTTGCATTTATAAATAATGATTTTTAACCACAATTCATTTATAAAAATGTGGTTTTATGATATATTGATAGGCGGAAAGACCACACTATGGGAGGGCGGCATTCGTGGCAATGCTTTCATATGGAGTTCACGCCTAAAAAAGAGATATATTAGCGACCATTTAATGCATGCAATCGATTGGTTGCCAACAATATACACCGCGATTGGGGGTAAAACACGAGACTTGGGACCCATTGATGGCATCGATATGTGGGATATTCTTAACCATAACTTAGAAAACCCACGAAAACATTTATTGCATAATATAGACCCAATTGATAACAACTGGGCGCTCAGGTCAGGCGACTATA